CTCTCCATAAGAGGAGGAAAGAGGGAAGAAACAAGAAAAGGAAAAAGCTACATAATGTACTCACTCAGTTGCTGTTTTTCCAAGCACTTTCAAGCAGCTGTCACTAAAACCCTGAATCAGCAAAGTACTCAAACATTTTATGGAAGAGAGTAAGGCCATTTACTTCAGAAGTTGTATTCACAAACAGAAGAATTTTTCTGATTCAGGGCCTAAGTGCCTCTACACCTGGTGTTATAGTATTTCTCAACCCTTCAGACACATTTTCACTCTGGCTGTGTCCTTATTGAAAGTGATCTTTATTCCCTCAGTAACTTCAGACTCTTAGGTTGACTACAGACATGAAAAAAACCAACCAAACTTTACTTTCAGCTCAGTGCGCCCCCACACCGAGCGCAGTGCATGCCCAGAAGAGGCACTGCATCAGTTTGAATTAGCTCACCTAACATCTGTATAGATAGCGTGCTTTGGTGGGCCTTTTTGGTGCTGATTGAATCAGCTATGAGATAAAAGTGCCAAAAAACCCCGCTGACGCACATGATCTATACAGATGCTGGGGAGCCAGGTCAAACTGATGCGCTTCTTCTGGTAAAGTGCTGGGTTTTTTTATTCATGCTTGTCAGCAGCCCTAGACTTTATATCTTCTTGCATAAGCCAAACCTTCAACTTAAAGACCATCTCTACATTCAATATAGCAGCATGACAGCCTGTTATAATAGAGACTTCCCTTTTTCCATACTCAGTGCTTTTATTTTTAAATCAATTTCCTTTGTATTTGGAAATGCGTGGAGAAGCTTACTAGCGGGGACAGCAACTGGGGCCCCCAAAAAATGAGGCAGATTATAAAACTGAAGAGTAAAAAGCAATGACCCCAACCTTTCCATTCTCACAGTCCAAAGCTGAGGATGCCAGCAACAGAGGAAAGAGCAAGCTTTCAGTTTTAGAACTGCTTTACATTTCTTAAATGATTTTTTCAGCCTGGAAAAATTAAATAATAGCTTTTCTGAGCATAACGTTATTAGAACCCTGTAAGCCGAAAAACATTCTAGTGTAACTCCTTTGAAATCAGTGGAGTTACACCACAGAGTATTTGGCCCAGTCTGTCTAATTCCCTTAGTCCTTGATTATTTTTTGGTAACAGATTTCACTTGAAAGCAATGCCTGACATTAATCTGTTTTGGAATTACCGTGCTTCATTATCTTGATGTGCAGTTCTGAATATATATTCATTTCAAATTCAAATGACTAGTAAGACCTGTGTGTGTTTTTGCTTTATTTACCCTCTCATAGACCCAAGTCATCTGTTCTCTCACTAGAACAAAAGCAAAAAACATGAGCCTGTAGCAGGTATAGGTTTAAATAGGGTAAAGGGAGGATGTTTAACATGCTGCTTTTCTTGTGCTGAAATTAGAACCCTCTTGAAACAGCTGAGGTAGTCATTTTAGTAGAACAGAGCAGCTTGTACCATCAAAAATGAATTCCCTCAAGAAAAATTTGGAGCTCATCTTCCAAGAAAATATTTGAGCGTGAACCCATGTGAATAAAGTGTGAACTGGCCCTTATTTAAAAGTTTTCAATCTGCGGGTACAAATCTGTTGACCAGAATCAGGAAACCTGCTGTACTCTTACGGGAGAGAACAGCGTCAGTAATAAAAATGAAGAAGTAGGGCAGGTATCCCTGTTTAACAGGATGTGATGTAACCCTGGATATTTAATCCTCACCAGTTCTTTCTTGGCTTATGTCTTTCAGGTGCAGGCCTCACTGTTGGTGATACCGACTCCTGCCATGGCAGCCAGGATGGAGGCAGCATGGCTAACTCCCAGATTGTAGAACTTAGAAGAATACCCATAGCGGACACTCACCTCTAACTCCACTGTTTGGTTGTTTTGGTTTTTTTTAATTCAAATCTCCATATTTTTATATTTGTATTTCCTTTTGCACTAAAACACTGTATGCATCTGTGTAGTAGAATTCTGTGAGCTGTACTGGGCGATTAACAAGAATGCTTGTTTGTTTGTATATCAGAAAATAAACTGTAAATTTTTTACAGTGGCTGAGCATCCACAGATACAATGGCAATTGGCCCAGGTTTGTTTTCTGTAATGAGATGCATATATTCCATGAACTGTAGCTTTTTTTAAAAATTAACCTGTATGTGTAACACTGTTTAATAAAAATGATAGAGTCAATTTGATATAAACAAGTCATTATTTCTGGCTGATCAGTTTAGAAGCAAAAAATATTATATCTGGAACTGGAATTTGAAGCAGTTATGTAGAGTTGGGCTGGAAAGGATTTTAATTAGAGGTGCACTGATATATCGGTCCGATATTGGATCGGCACCGATATAAAGAAAAATGTCTGTATCGGAAATCAGTCTAATATGGCCAATAATTTGGCTGATAAATGGTCCATGCATGCGCACAGCCATAGCGCAGCATGTAGGTGGTGAGGAGCACAGCCCAGCAGCTTGAAGAGCAGTGTCCAGCTGGTAAGTCTGTTGTGGTGGAAAGGGAGGGGGAAGATAAAGGCCCCTGTGGTGAGGGAGGAATGGAAATGGGGCTGGGGCAGGGGCTGGGGCAGGGGCTAGGGCAGGCGCTGCCCAGTGGCTGGGGGGGGGGGAGGGGGAGGGGGGGGCGGCCCCCTGCCACTGTGCACCGCTTGTCCAGGAGCTGCTTGTCTGGTGGCTTATCCGGTGCTCAACTGCTTGTCCAGTGACTCCTGCTGCTGCTCCCGCTGCTCATCCAGGAGGGCATGGGAGGGAGCATGTGCCCCCAGATCTGTGAGGGGTAGGGTGCGTTCTTCCCAGCAGGGGCTGGGCTGGGCTGCACTCTGGGCAGGCAGTGGCAGTGCAGGGAAGGGGCTCCGGGGGGAGGGGGGTAATGCAGGCACCCCAAAATTTGCCGTAGCCCCCCTATTCCCCCATTCCAGCACCACCGCTGCCACCCGACCTGGCAACTTGGCCCAGGCCCCCCTGCTCTTCAAGCTGCCATCCTGGTATCAGAAATTGGCTTGGTATCGGCCGACATGCCTCCTTAAAAATCGGCTATTGGTATCTGCCCCAAAAAACCTCTATGGTGCACCCCTAATTTTGATTGCGTGGTTCCACACTGCGAAGTACCGTGCCTCTGGGCTTTTGAGAAACCAAATCTGAGAACTTCACAAGCACACAAAGGCACAAGTCTGGATCCAGAGAGCTAAAACAGGATAAATTCTTACAGGATGCAGCATTCAGTGGTCACAAACAAGGGAAAGGACAGTGAAGGGCAGTAATAAAATCATTCCTTTACTCCAAAGTAGTGTAAGGATATCAGGGTTAAGGTAAGGACTGTTATTCTGTTACACTGTCATTTTCTTAAAAAAAAGAAATGTCTAAGTCCTTTAGCATATACCAGAAGGTACATCTTTAGGAAGGAGTTTAGTTAGTGGCATTTCAGTAGAGGCTACATAGATAGCTGTTTTCTAACTGATTGAAGGGTTAAGTATTGCATTACAATCAGGGTCAGATCAAAATCTAGGGTCATAAACCAACAAGGAAAATTACTCCCTTAACAAGACACACAGGAAGTATTTCAGAATCAGGAGGGGGAGGTAGAATGATCTTATAAAAATCATTGTGTGCAAAAAAAGGAGAAAACATTAAAGGAAGAGGCCTAGGAAGTTCTCCTCAGAACATTTTTGTTTAGAGTCGTGTACTGTGAAAGTACAGTGAATAAAAACAAGACTTTTATCAGGGGCTTGCCTAAAGGCTTTATACTGAGCTAGCTCTGAGCAACAAACTCCCTTTAAAAGAACATTTGTGAGAGTTTCTTTTTTAACTAGTGCATTTTATAATTGAATTCTGCATAACTGGACAAAGAAGGAAATCAAAGTCCTTGCCTGGTCAAACTGTCTCTGAAAGGAGATGCCTGGTTTTCTTAGGTAAAGGGTAACTTCTATAGTTGGTTTCTAAAATAAATGCATAAATAATGGCTGTCTGCTAGATCTTGCTATTGCTAAGGTGATTTTTGCACTTTTGTTGTAATCCTCTGTTTTCATACGCTTAGAAACCTTCTGAGCTTCTGCTTTAGGCTGAATACTTGCACATTTTTCTCCAGCCTAAAAGGAAATTATTTTGAGACATCTGAGCAACAACATTTCAGTTCATTTTGGAGATGGAGAGAGCAAAAAATACATCCTTTGAGGCAACTGTTCAGATGTGAGAAATAGTTCTGGCTGTGAAGGTGGGCAGAGTGTAGGATACGTGATTACTGGGCTAGAATAAATGTGCTTTGATCATGCTGGTGTGATGGGGAAGGGGGCCTGGCTACGGTTTTGCTGCATCCAATGACTCATCAGTGCGAAGACAGCCTTCTAGAGGTGAATCCTGCAGCTGCCAGCTTGTACCAGCTGGGAATGAGAAAATGCTCCCATGTCCCAACATTCCTTGCACTTTGAAGGGGAATTTCTTTGAACAAGAAGTCCTTTTTTACAACCTCAGTTTAACAAAGTTTTTACAGATGTACTTAAGTGCAGCTCTCTTCAGCAGAACACTTAAATATATGCATAATGTAGGTTTGCTTACATTTTATTGAAATCAATAGGATTTAAGCACATATCTAATTTTAAGCTTCCCACTTTATTTTTTCCAGCTTCTTTGCCCACTGTTCCTGTGTTCTCCACACCATAAAGCAAATTCTGAAGGCCAAATCTACAGCCTACTGAAGTCAATGGTTGAAATTCCAATGGGACCAAAATTTGGATGTCGGGGCCCAAAGCACTTGGGCAGGCATTGCAGTCAATGGCTGTATCCAGACAAATGCAGCTGTGCGGTATGTGGTACCACAGACCCATCTGCAGCCCCACACTCCACACATTCAGGTGTTCCCTCCACTGCTATCTTGAATCACCTATATTTCAACTAAAGCAAGTCAGTACAGTTTGCTTGTAATGATAATAGACATGCTTTTGTCACTGAGAAAACAGCAATTAGAATGGGTTTTTGCATTTGTATTGGCTCAGGAAAGGTTCTTCTTGGCCAAGGCAAAGATTTCACATCTTTCCACCACAGCCTTAACAAAAAGTATAGCTCTGGAAACGGTTGCAACACTTCCAAGGGTTGCTCAACTGCAAAGGAGTTAGTATCGTCAGAGCCATTTCATAGGCTTACAATACATGCTACTACATGCAGGTGGAAAGCTTATAAAAAGAGAGTGTTTGATTTTGACTCACCACCATAAATGCTAACAGCTTGTGCCACTTTGACATGTTGCACAATCGGCCTGGTTATGAGTTCAGTGTAAACACATCAGCCTTTTTATAGCAAGGCAGTATTTGGATGTTTATCCTTTGGCAAGCTTCTTATGGTTTGTGATCCCCAAATGAATCTCTCTTACCATCACAGAATCACTTACGTGCAGGAAAATCCTATTTCCTAATAGCACAGGACTCTGTATCAGTTCATTTCTGCTGTTCCTTCACACAGTGAACTTTTTGCATTTGAGCACTGCAGCTGTATGCTCTTCATCCAATGTGCCAAGCAGCCAGATGCGAGAGGGGAAGCTTTACAACTGAATTGATCCCAGGTAGTATTTAAAACCTGACAGAGACTATAAGTTGCATGTGGATTCTACAAGATGAATGAATAAACACAAAGTAAATATTACAATTAATCCTCAGCTACAAGGTGAACAAAACTAAGATACTATGTATAGATTCTTTCCCTCTCCGATGTCAAAGGTCCCACAAATATTACCCTAGGAACCTATCTTCTCTGTGTGTGAAGGGTTAAAAAGAGATGCATGTCATGCGTAGATGCACATCTCCTGATGGTAGGGAGAAGCGATTTCCATTTCCATGCTATAATAGAAAAATGACTCATCTCTCCTCCAAAGACTACTTGAGTACGTTGGCATAGAACACACAAGCCTATACAGTGCATTTATGTTTCTTAGGAGCTCATTAGGACATACAGTTTGGGTCAAGTGCCTAACAGTAGATGTGATGGAATATTAATACTTTAAAAAAGATGTGAGAATGGTTTGGTGCAGAGCAGCCAGGTAAATGAATACAGTCATTATCACTGGCTTCTTTACTATCTTTTTAAGGAATTTATTACCAAAAAGGAACCTGGCAAGATTCTGATCTCACTCTCATTGGTGTAAATTGAAAGCGACTCCACTACCTTCAGTGTTTGTAGTAATTTTTAACTTTCAGAGATTGATAACTTTGACACATTCTGTCCATGCTACACAGTGGGTGCATCTACTTGTGCTTTTAGTGGGGTCTAAAGTACAGGGCTAGGTGGCAGACAGCCTCCACACTTTAGCACCCTCATGCACCAGCCAACCCCTGTCACTGTCTACATGTGCATTTTAGCGCATGTAATTACTCCGTCATGGGATAGTACTGTGCCTGACAGTACTATCTTATGGCGGAGTTAGTTAATTTACTACACCCAAATACCAGCGCACATGTAGACTGTGATGCTTTACTGTGGTAGTCAATTCCTGCAGCAAAGCACAAGTGAAATTCCTACTGGTGTCCTAGGACCAATTGCTAAATGACTCACCTCTTACAAGGTCACAGAGCTGGAGAGTTAAATATTTAAGCCACCAGTGTAAAAATCCATGTGGAGACATGTATATAGTGGAGACATATTCATGTGGAGACATACATAGTTTCTTTATAATTAATATATGGGCTTCTGCCCAAAGTAAACCAAATTAGTACAAAGGGTTTAGGGTGGAAAACTGAGCCCATTTAGTGCGACATGCCACTTTCAAATAGATGCATGTCACTCCCATTGAGCCATTTGAAAGACAACATTTAAATTTTTTTGTCATTGGTTTCCCAATCTTTACTTTAGTCTCTTCGCAAACACTGCAGTTTGTGAAGCATTTCCATAATCATTTACTTCTATTTGGAAGTGCCAGGTAGGCTGAACAGTGT